GCGCTCGCCTTCACCCGCCTCGCAGCGCACAACCAGGTCCTCCTGGGGCCGCCGCTCGATGCACTGCAGGTCGATGGGCACAAAGGCCCGGGCCGCCTTCTCGGGCAGCAGGTTGGCATCATCTTCGGACAACTCCTCTAGCTTGGTGGGTGGCTCTGAGCGGAGGGGCTCGGGCTCGATGTCCCGCCATCCGGGGGGGTCTGGGAATGGGGCACTGGGCTGAGGGCCAGTCCCCCAGGGCAGGGTGGCAGCTTCGCTTACCGTGCTGTCGAGACCATCCTCAGTCCCCTCTTCGGCTGTGGGAGACCCAGCAGAAGACCCTGCCCTGGAGGACTCGGCTCCACAGGACTCAGCCCCACCTTCCCCTTCCGGCTGCCGGCCGTTGGGGACCAAGGCCTGGGGCGGGCTCTTCTCCGGGGCCTCAGACCCCTTCACCTCCAGCAGGGCCAGGGTCTCGGGTTCTGTCATCCTGGGGCCTCAGTTCTGGGGTCTACCATGAGGTCCTATCACCCTAGAGGGAGCAGAAGAAAGCTCTGTCAAAAGTTCCTGGCTTCTGGCCCTTGGGACAAGGGGATAGACTTGGAACTCTCTGGGGCAGCTGGTCTCACGGGCTTTAGCCCCTTCTGGGACCTTAGGGAGAACACGGTACCGAGGAAGGTGTTGAAACAGAAGGAGGTGGGAGGGAAGGGAGCGGCTGAAATGGAGACACCCTTTCGACGTCAGATGCCATCCAGCAGGAGAGGGTGAGTCAGGGGGCACAGGCGTTGGCAGCTGTGGCCTCAGCCAGCTCCCACCCCGTGCCTTCTACCAGCCCCCTCCGAAACCCCCGGGGTCACGCCCACCCTAGTGCAGAAACCAGAGGAAGGTGGGGTGTCCAGAACTTTGCCTGGAGCCCCCTTCCCACTAGGGGCCTCTTGTGGCCAGAGGCTGCGCCTTTACCCTCAAACCTCCCCTTCTTGTAGATCCTTGTTTGAAACTCTCCTGGAAACCGATACCAGTGATTTGCTAATAAATCTGTCCCAAGGAGCCCGCAACAGCAGTGCGCCCTGTTCTTTCGTCCGCAGTGTGGGTACCTGGGTGGTTTCCATGCTCTTCGCTAGTCGGTGCCCTCCGTCCTCCCTCTCCAGGGGGCCTGGGGCTGTCCATTCTGGCTTCTAGGTCTAATTATGGCCGTTCCCCATGCCTCCTCTCCTGTTTTTCTCCGTTTCCCCCATCTCACTGCTTCTGGATGGGGCAGAGTCCCCTCCCTCCACCTCCTCAAGGGCCTTCTACCCCTTGCCACGTGAAACCATGACACCCTCTTACTTTCCATCTGCAGAGGCGGAGGGTCCCCAGCGTTTGGGAAGGAGCTGCCCAGCTCCCTGCTGGCTCTGCAAGTATCCCTCTCAGTCTCTCTCCCTTTACCTGTGTCTCCAAACCTGTCTGACCAGAGCAGGTGGGGCCCAGATTAAAGGGGCAGGCCCTGCCCTGCTGAATCTGCCGACAGAAAAAGCATTGGAGGGCGTCACCCTTTCCGAAAGTGGGGGTGCAGCTGGGCACAAGGGTAAGTGTGTGCTCTAGGCCGGTGGGATGTGTAGGAGCTTGAAGCTCAGGAAAAGCAGAGGGCACATCAAAGGGGGCTCGGAGTAGGTAGAAAAGGCGGAACTTCTACGCTTGTGCAGTATTTGGTGAGCACCTGTTATTGGCTAGGCACTATTCTAGGCACAGACATAGGAGAGAAGAGTGCAGGCAAGGTCCCTGCCCTCGAGTAGCCTGTTCTATTGCGGTAACAGATAATAAAGAGCCTAATCAATAGGACAGTTTGAGTAGAGAAAACCTCTCTGCCAAGACAACATTTGAGCTGAGACCTGACAGGAAATGAGGAGGGCTCCAAGGAGGAGACAGAGCAAGTAAAAGACCCACTCCACTTAGGCTGGTTCAGGAACAGAAGAAAGGTTGGTGGCTGGAACCAGGAGCACCGAGGTGGAAGGGAATTTATGTTCCTATCACCACTTCCCCAGACTTCCCAAGATACCTTGCTTTTTTTTTAGCCTAGGTTCAATGCCAAGAAAGCAATAGGAATCCAAGGTAATCTTTCCAAGGCAGAAACGTGAGAGAGGGGCTTCTCATTCCTGTGGGACCTCACCCCAAAGTCACTTGAGCTTTGTGAGGGCGGGACAGGGTCTGGATCGCTCTTCGCCCGTGTCTCCAGAACCCAAGGCTGGAAGACAGCAGGCGTTCAGTAAATGTCCGCTGGGCTGCTGAGAGACAGCAAGTGGAAGGCTGTGGGGTAGGGGAGCTGAGGGCGAGGCGCCTGCACGAGGGTCACGTCTTGGAGGGGCCTCACTCTTACGGTCCTCCTCTCCCCAGGAAACTCTCACATACACTTTCGTTTGTTCTTTTAAGCACTGGGGGAAAGGGAGAACTGGATCACCTGCAACCTGAGAGAGACGCGACTCAAATGGGGGGACAGGTGTAGGGTCGGCAGAGCGGACCAAATGGCCACCGCAGCGCAAAACACAGTCTCGCTCCTGGCCGTGGGCCCATCTGCCGCGACCCTTAGCTGAGCCCCAGCCCCTCGCCGGGTCCACTGTCCGTTCTCTGGCAGGTTTGTCAATAAAGTTTTTCGCAAGGACTTGGAGAGGCCGGAAAGAAGCCGCGCTGCCCAGAGTTAGTTCTGGCAACTTCCCGGGAGGGAAAACGAGCCTCGCGAGACTTGGTAGCATGCGGGCGGGGCGGCCCCCCCCTCCCGCCCCGCCGCTGAGCCGCCACTATCGCGAGATTTGGCAGGCGGAGGAGGAGCTGTCGCGGGCAGCCGCCTCACAGCGATGGCGGCCGAGCAGGGCCGGCGGCGGTGGCGGCTGCGGCTCCGGCCGAACGCGGCAGTGGTGACGGTAGCGGCGGGCGGCGGGGGCCTGTGACCGGGAGCCGACCCGGACCCGGGCACCATGAGCCAAGGCCCCCCCCCAGGGGAGAGCAGCGAGCCCGAGGCGAAGGTCCTCCACACCAAGCGGCTTTACCGGTGAGGGGCCGGGGCGTGCGTGCGGCCGCCGGGGGAAGTGGGCGCCGCGGGGGCGGGGCCGCGGCGGGCGGG